AATTTTAAATCTTTAAAGGAGTCTCTTGCACTGGGAAGAATCAAGAAAAGATGTGATAAACATGCGTGGGAAGGAAAGGGGAGGAAAGGAGAAACCGGGGAGGTGATATAGCATGAGGCTACAGGGAGCAGCCACTTACACTCCCAGTTATACATCTTCAGAATGTGTAGAGTGGCGGCTACTGTACTTGCATACAGAGCCAAATCTTTGAGCTCAGGCACATAGTGGTTGTACCTTTTACTAATTGGATAACCTTGGGCAAGTCTCTAAGTTTCCCTGAGCCTCGGTCTTTCATCTGTAAAAGGCAGAAAATAATGTACATCTGAGAATTCTTTCTTTCTAATGAAATGACAGAAATGCATGCACCAATGAATGCTGATTTCTTTTGCCCTCCTCTGTTTGACCGGGAAATAGATCTCCTGGCATTAAACAATAAGGGTATTTTTCTTTTCATCCCCCTTCCCCCCTTTTAGCCTTGACTTTTGCAAAGAGATATGACAATATAATTTCAGGGTTGAAAGGAATTTGAAAGAAAAATAACAATGTATTATAGCAGAACAACATTAGTGATCACTTGTTCAGATGCCCACATTTTTGGTTCAAAGATAGAGACTTCTCATTCACAGGCAAGGTAATACCAGTATCTGAATGGCAGGAAGGAGGTGCGGTGGGATGCAGGCTCTCCCCCTAGTCTTCAATTCTAATCTAGAGGCTGTGCAATTGAAGTCTTTCCTAGGTCTAAAATGAAATGCACGGATAAGTCTCCACATTAATCCTCTCTGTGTTTTGTGACATAGGTCATTCTATTTAACATCTCTGTGCCTTAGTCGCTTTAAATAACACACAGGATTACCTTAACAATTGATGAAATGCTGTATGTACAAACCACAACAGTTTTCAGTAAAGGGTAGCTATTAAATTTTGCTTTTATTATGTAGCTTATTAATATACTGATGCCAGAATGGTTTGATGTTGATTCAATTGTCTCTCATGAATGAGATACTGAGATAGGGTCTCAAGCTCCTAAGGAGGTGTCAGTGTTCTCGTTTTCTAGCTAAAGAGGCTCATTTCAATATAATCACTTGCCTCAGGTACCTGCCACGCTGATCTCAAACTCCTCATTACCACAGCTGCTAGAACCAGTCAGAATAAAGGAGGTTGGGAGGCTATCTCCCAACAACCCCATTAATATAAACCAGGTCTTCTCACACATAAAAATAAATAAATAAATAAATAAATAAAATAAAAAAGCTGAACTAATGAACACTTACCCAGAATTCCCCATAGCATCAGATATTAAATGTTCTATAATCTTCCTTATTAATTTCTGTAGTTTTTACTTCCCTCACAGAACTATTTCCAAAATGGGCAAGAGCATAGTAGGTATTCATTGGCAAACCAACAATGATGCACAGAGCCTACATCTGTGTCACCAGCAAAACCCTGACAAAGTTGAGCAACAGATGAAGCTGTGTAAGTTGATGATAACATTTCTTATTTTTCTGCAGCCTTCTCTTCTGATTTCCTCCAGCCACGTTCTGCTTTTCTAACTGTGTCAGGTAAGATGACACTAACTGCCTAACTTTTGGCAAAAGCAAACATATGTTCCCAAATGCCAAAAGCAAGGAGCAAATGTTTCCCCCAGAACTGCAATAGTAAGCCTGTCTGCCTGCCGCAAAGCAGAGAAACCTGATGGCTGTGGAGACTCTCAACAGATAAATGGCCCCACTGCCCATGCTGGAGACAGATCTGTTCGTTTTCCTATAAGCCTGTAGCCACCGGTTTCCACCGGGAGGACTGAAAGTCCAGACCAGTGAACAGCACCTCTAGCAAGTTCTGGTCTTTTCTGCAAATAATGCCTCTTCATACTGCTCTCTATGTTCCATCCTCTACCTATGGATATGGCAAAAGAAGTAAAAAATGCTATGGCCACTCTTGGTAATTGTTTCTCAATTCCTTACCACCTGTGAATTAGCATAAGGAGAGCAGAGGAAATAAAACACTGTGAACAGGAAGACAGATGTGACAAAATTTCAAATATGTGTCTTCATAATACCCTTCCTGCTAGGAATCAAGGTACATCACATCAAACATAGGGAAGTAAAAAGGGTAGCTTTTGCAATCATTGTTTTGAAACTTCTGTCCATCCTGAGAGTTGACCCCATTAAACTCAACACAGCGTGGTTACGGTTTGTTCCCTCAGTGAAAAAGTGCCCTCTTTGGGACAGAAAGGATCCCCTGCAACCACCAGCAAAATAAATTAAATCTAATGACTGAAGTAACTGTTAACCATTCCTCTGGAGAAGCAACAGGGAGTGAAGGGGAAAGTTCTCAATTAGAAATCAAAAGGTGTGAACTGACTTTCCTGGACTGAAACTTATTAAAGACATGACCTTTGGCAACCTCTTGTTTCTCTGAGTCTCACTCAGTTTCCCTCTCAATACACTGAAACCAGGTAAGAGATATCACTTAATTAGTACCTACTTACTCCACGTACTTTGCATTATTCCATTTAATCTAATTGTCACAAGATTTTTGAGGTAAGTATTTCCCCTGTCCCCATTTTGAACTGGATAAACAGAAACTCTAAATGGTAAAATGAACTGCTTAGTATTATACAGCAACACAGGTATTAGAACTGAAATTTAAAGTTCACCATAAAACTTGGACTCCATCTATCAATATGCCTTCCCTCAGGGCTATTGCAAGCAAAAAGGAAGATAGATATATATATGTAAGTATATATGTGTGAATATATATATATATATATTTATTTATATATATGTATATATATGTATTTTGAAATCTTAAGATATGTATACACACATACAATCATATACATATATACACAAACACATTCATATATATCTTGCTCAATATAACCAAATATAGAACATTTGGTATACATATCTATATATTTGTAGAGTTTTGGTAACCAATAATCTGGACAAAGAGGAAAGGTGTAACAGAGTATCTTTGCTTTAAAGAACCAGAATCCAAAGGAATTAACACTCAATATCCCTTCCATTTCCTTATTCTGACCTTAATTTGAACATTTTCCTTTTCCACACAAGCCCCTTTCTTTCAGGCACGCGTTCAGATGTATCCTGGCCAGCTCATCACAATGCATTCACAAAGAACAGGCTGATGGGAACAAGCCCATCCTCTGCAAATGCTTGGCTCAGGAGGTACCTAAGGGGGCACCACCGAGCCGGGTCCCTTCCCTCAAGATGCATCACACCCCCTCGCCTGCACTCATCAATACCACACACAAATGCAATGGACTGTGAAAGAGGCAGCCAACTCTAAATGCCGGATGCTCAATTCAGGGACTTACAGCACAGCCAGGAGAGAGTAGTAAATCACCATATGAAGTCAATTGGAATAAAATCAATTGTCACAAGGGGTTGGAGACATATGAAGAATGTTATTTTATTTTAAAATATCAATAAAAAAGGAAAACTAGTACGGGCTGGTGAGAATGTTTGTGTTTCAATAAGGGAAGTTGGTGTCTAAAGGAGAATGAATGTACCAGCAACACCACATGAGAATTTCAGTGTTCTCTATACTAGCTAACAGAAGACGTCAGGAATAAAAGGTATAAAACAGTATAAAACAAAAATGGAACTTCTGACTTCCCCTCTCGGCTTTCTAGCATTCATCAAATTCAAGATGCTTTGCTTATAAAGATTGTCTTGGACCAGAGTTTCACAGACCTGAGGCTTGGCCTAAAAACTAGTGGGAATTGATATCATTGCAAGACATTTAATTTTATATTACAAGTCAAGCATGATGAAAGTCTCATGCAGACAGCATTAAGAAAACATTTGCTATAAAAGAGTTTCAAAGGCCAAAGAAGAAAACACAGTATTTCCAGATTAAAACAAATGTCCCTCTAAGGTAGTCTGAAATCACCTTTGGAAAACCCACTCTCCAAGGTTACCATACAAAGATTTTTACAATAATTACCATCAGTGTCGACCTTGCTAACCATCTTATTGGAATCATGCCAGTATCATTTCATCCTCCAAACTACCTAAGAGCTCCTTGTGACTATTACAATCTCCATGTCCAACAGGGGAAACATGAATTATCAGAAAGATTGGGTAACTTGCCCAAGTACACACAGCTAAAATGAGGCAGAGCTGGAGTTAAAACAGGTAAAAGCGTTCTCAGCCACTAACTCAGCAATCTGTGGAGAAGAGCCAGAAAAGCTTCCAGTGGCACCGATATTCAAATTTCACAACTTGGAGGTGGAGGGAAGACTCCCTGGGACTGGGTTTTACAGGAAACGTCTGAAGTTTGCAGACATGTATGTTGCAGATTTCTCTTTAACTCAGCTTCCTTGTTCACTCTGCTTACTCAGAAGTGTGAGGGGCAACATAAAGTCAGCTGTTCCTAAATGGGGGACATCCTATTCTCTACAGGTCCAGAGGATATTGCCCGGAGAGATAACTAGGCTGGAAAGAGAACTAGGAGTACCATATGAGGTCACCAGCACCAGCGCGTTCCTCACCTCTCCACCAAAAACCTGACCACCACCCCCCCACAGGGGCTTCTTCTGGAAAAGCAGGTCAGGAGGGGAGGTAGCGAACGAAGCTGAAAGCAGCCTTTCCCCAGGTTGTCACTGTTCCAGGCTGGGGGCGACGGCCCTATTCCACCCTCCAGGCTCACAGCAACGCTCTGGAGAAACCAACGCGGGGATCTACCAAGACGGATCCCTTAAAGGGCTAGGAACGGGGTGCAGCACCGCGCAAGCAACCCACAACTGTGTTACTTTAAATGCCCACAATGCTAGGATGAAGCTTGGACAGTTGGGTTCGAGTCCCGGCCACAACACTTAACTAGCTACGTGACCCACCACCGCCTCTGCTGCCTTCTGTGCCTCAGTTTGTCCTTCTGGACAATAAGAGGGTTGAACTGTATCTTTATGAATCCTTCGACCCTGAGATTCTGAGCACCGCTGATTGACCGAGTCCGCAGGGCAGCGTGAGACTCACCTTTCTTGCAAATCAGAGAGGACGCAGCGAAAGCCGTGGGGACAGCTATCGGGTCGCCACGCACTGTCTTCTTCCGTGCGTCTTGCCAAAGTGAAGCCCGGGAGACCCAGATCCCGCCAGTCTTCCCCAGTGAGCGTCTTACTTTCCGCCGCACTTTCTTTTTCCCCCTTCAGGACTCCTCCCCCGACGCGGAGCGATTGGCCGCGCGGGCTCGAGCTCCACCCGCCGCCTCTGCTCGCCAGCCGCCCGCGCCGTGGGCTTCCCGGAGCTGCTGAGGGGCGGCACCGAGGCAGCTCCACCCGCGGCGAGGAGGAGCCGTGCCGGCCTGCGGGCGGACTCGAGGCTGCGCGGGTCCCTTCCGCGCCCTGTCACCGCCAGGGCTGACTGGAAAGCGCAGGAAAGACGAGCTTTGGTGCTGCGGCTTGGCGCGTAGCCAGGCGCTGTGGGAAGATACGCCCCCCAGGGTACACACAGGCACACACACGCGATCTTTCCGAGAGCCTGGTCTCGCAGTCTAGATCGATGGCATACTGCTTTTTCTTCCTGGCTCTGTGCACTTGGTTGCCATACTGCAGGCCAGTAGTCAATTCAGGTTGCAGGATTTGCCCTCACCTACCATGTGCCAAGCACAAAGAGGTGGAAAAAACAGGCTCTATCTGGGTGGCCTGGAACTCTTGCCAGTGGGGGAGACGTAGTAGAAAAGAACTGGTCATGACGGCAGAGCTACAATCATATTTTCCATTATAGTATACCTAGTGCCTAGTAAAAGTATGAATAAATGGATGGATGAATGGACGGACGGACCAGTGGGTGGATGGGGTGGATGGATGATGGATGGATGGATGGATGGATGGATGGATGGATGGATGGATGGATGGATGGATGGATGGATGGATGGAAATAACCTCAAAAGAACTCTCTCCCTTTCATTTCATTTCAGTTTCTTCAGATTTCTGCCAGAGCACTCTTCAGTACTTTCCCAATCTAGGAGGTAGTTAGTAAATTAACTTGAGAAATTTTATAGTGACTTTCATTGTGTCAACTTGCTTTGTCAGAGAATCTTCTTTTGTTCCCCCTTGATAATCCATCAAAGTATTTTCCTAACTAGCAAGACTCTTCTTCACTTGCCCCCATGTTGAAATTCATAATAAAGGCAATCTACCACATTGATTTGTTTCTTGCTTACTGTCACCTCCTTGCCTTTTCTTCCACTTGTAGAATTAACTATTTGCATCTTATTACCTTAGTCAAGATGCTGAGATATCGACAAAACAATTCAGGAAAAGAAGAGAAAAGATATGAAAGAATAAAGGGCCTTTGTAACATGAAACTACCAGTCCCTATATACCTGCTAGCGATGACAGCTGGGCCATCCTCAGCCATTGCCCCTATCCTGGAGAGCTCAGCTCCCTACAGTGAAGTAACAGTGTAATTGAAGCAATGGAAATGTGCATGTTATTTCATTTACTGATAGCACTCACGAAAATTAGCCCCAAGAAATTATTATTCATCTCTGCATATCTGGCACATAATATATATATGACCACAACATTGTTAGTAAACCAAAAAGGAAATAATCCAAAAGAATTTTTGAAATGCTCTCTGTGAAGCAAAAAATAAAATGATTCTTTGATTTATTATTCATTCATGAAACACAGTTAAAGGCACTTGTTTTTTTCTTCTGTAGTATGCTTATTAAGCACTTACATATGCTTACAATGTAGTAGGCAGTTTGCATATTACTTCATTTAACTCTCACAACAACCTGTAAGGTATTATTATTTCCAATTTATGGATGAGACATAAAGAAATTGTATCTTGCCCAAGGCTACAAGCTTACAAGTGGAGAATGCTTGATGACAACTGAAACAGTCAGAATTCCACTCCATTCTGCAGTCTCGTATGCTTCCTAAAAGACTTGCTCTGTGCCAAGCACATGCTGGTAACTCATAATTGAACCAGATAGAATCTTGATCTTTCAGGAGCTACTCAAGAGTTTAATGAAGATGAGAGGCATATGAATAAATAATCATAGGGTTATATTTGGTAAACTAAAGCCAACGTAGTTGGAAATGGAAATGATCAGGTAACCAATATTGTATATTCATATAATAAAGGACTTGCTGTCATAGTTAAAATGTTATGAAAATATCTCTACATATTTCCTACAAAATAAAAGGCTTATAATATAATCCCTGTAGTCGAATAACAGCTATGGAAAGACATGGACAGTTAAAACAGAAGTAAAAATGTTAATGTTAGTGTTAAGGGAGTGTACACATATTTAAAATTTTTCTTTAACTTTAAAATTTTAGGAAAACGTGTCCTAAAATTTCAGTGAAAAAATATCTCATGAATGAATGAGTCTGCAAATTCACTGGATCCACAGTCTAACACTGATAAGTGTGAGGAGGCACTCAATAAAACATTTTGAAATCGAAATATTTGTAAAAACATTACTACCCTCTTTTCCTTTGTTACTATCCTTCATCTCTCTTCCTAGGTTATGTTTAAATCATTTTTGCATAGTTGGAGACCTCAGAATTTTGCTAATCCCTAAAGTCCAACTTGATCAGGCTTCTGTTTCTAACAGTCCACAGTTAAGTTATAGAATCACCTTCACTCTGAAAAATGTATGGTCAATTCTTGTTCTTCATCTTACCTTAACCTATTCACAGCACTAGACACAGTTGATCAGTTTTCTTCACATTCCTGCTTCTTTGACTCCTTAGTTCCTATCAATTTCACCAGCTGTTCCATTCCAGACTCTTGTCTAATCTATTGTCCCTTCATGATCTCTGAGGGTTAAAGTGTTTCAGAGCTCAGTTCTGGGTGTGATTATTTTTCTCTCCCTAGGAGATCTCATCCAGACACATTACTTTCTCTATCTTCTGTATGATAAAGACCTGTGAATCTAAACCAACAGTCCTATTTCTTCTTATTGATAATTGTTAATATTTCACAGATGATGGAGCTGAATCACAACATGTTAAGTGATTTATTGGGTCATGTAAATACATTATAGAGTTTGAACTTGAGTCCAATGTCCTTGCTTTCAACTACTAGTTTGTATTTATTCTGATTTCCATTTATAAGGATCACTCTGACATGGGAGAAGTAGAGTGTGAGAACAAAAATTTGCAGGAATAAGAGGAATAGCAGAGAGATCAGTGAGCTAGAATGAACAGTGGCCTCGACTATGGTGGTTGTGGTGGTAGAGTGAAATAATGTTCAAATTTGTGATATGCTTTGAATGTAGAGGAAACAAAACATTTTCTGATGGAATGTGTATCAGCTGAGAGAGACAAGAAGGGCCAGCAATGAATCCAAAGTGTTGGCCTAAGCAACTAGGTAAAACGTGGGAAAATTAGGCGAGGAGGTGATTTGTTGAAGCTGAGAAACAGATTATTTTGCACATAAAATGTTGCAAATATATACAAAACAGCTGATACACATTCCATCAGAAAATGTTTTCTTCCCTCTACATTCAAAGCATATCACAAATTTGAACATTATTTCACTCTACCACCACAACCACCATAGTCGAGGCCACTGTTCATTCTAGCTCACTGATCTCTCTGCTATTCCTCTTATTCCTGCAAATTTTTGTTCTCACACTCTACTTCTCCCATGTCAGAGTGATCCTTATAAATGGAAATCAGAATAAATACAAACTAGTAGTTGAAAGCAAGGACATTGGACTCAAGTTCAAATTCTATAATGTATTTACATGACCCAATAAATCACTTAACATGTTGTGATTCAGCTCCATCATCTGTGAAATATTAACAATTATCAATAACAATACCTACATAAGAGAGTTGTAAGAATAAATGAGTTAATATAGTCAAGACTCTTGGGACAGGAACTATCATAAGTGAACTACTATGTAAATATCAACTATTATTTTTACTAATAACAATATAGTCTGCTCTCAGTCAATGATTTTTTTAATGATTAAAAGAATTTCTGAAGTTCATTCTGTGGCCTACAAGACCATACATGATCTGGCACTGAATTGGTTGTTCAAATCTCTCAATGTGGTCATCTTGCTGTTGACCAAACACACTGACATGTTCCCATGCTGGGACCTTTGCACTTACTCTTCCATCTGACCTGAGTGATCCCTCTACTTAGAGTGTTATTGCACCTGGCTCACTTCCTCACCTCACTTTCATCTTCATGATACCCCAGCTCAACTGTCACCTGTCTGATAACCATGTAAGTACTGTAAGTACTTATTTTATGCTCTATCTTATTTAATTTGCACTTCATTTGTGTATTGGATGTCCCTTTCACTAAAATATAAGCTCCAGGAGGGTAACATGATGTTTCGCTAGAAATAGTGCTTTGTGCATAATACTCCTTTAATAAACATTCAATCCAATCCCTAACTCTCAAGGCTAACCTGGGGTGGGGGCAGGGCAAGTGACAAGGTAAAGACAGTGCAATGCAGAAATATTTTACGTTAAGAGATTGGAAGAAGGGTAACCAGTGGGATAAAAAGAAAAGAAAAATGTGGAAAGGGGAAAAAGTAATTACGTCACCTTGCTATCCTTTTGTATTCCCACTGTTTGTGCCTTCGAGTCCTTTTTTCCTTCCACTCAAGCCCTTACCTGCTCTCTAATTTCTATCCTCTTCTTGTACTCATGCCTTTCTCCACTCCTACAAGGTGCCTCTGCTTGAAAATCATCTTTCCCTCTTCTTCCCCTTTACCCCATCCCTGGGATAAAAGGACTCTCTGCCATCACTTTTCTGGCACCAGATGCAGAGACTCAGGCAGATTGAATAATCTTGTCAGAGGTACATGCTCATTTGCCCAACTACATATATTTAACTACTGTAATTCAAGCAGCTTGGAAGAGAAAATTTGGCAATGCAATGGGAGATGTTCTTCATTCATCTATCAAAACTATCAGACTGGTTATGTGTAGCCATAAACGAACACAGGCAAAATAGAAACTCCTGGACCCCAGCCAGAGCTCTGCAGAGAAGTGGAAGTCCCAAGATGGGGATTTCTGCCATGTGAAGGAGTCAAAGATCAATAGTCAGCCACGCATTAAAATGGTGAAAACAGATTTTATACAGTAAATAGTGATTTAGTAATTATATATTATATATATATATATATATTTTATTCAATAGGGGAAAGAGCTGAGCACCA